TTCTTACTGAACTACTATTAGTACTATAACAACTATTACAACTACTTCTACTATTACTATGACAATTATTACTACTTATTTTATTACTACTAATTACAACTACTACTATTACTACTACTACTACTTCTACTATTACTACTATCTTTACTGCTACTACTTCTATTTCGATTACTAATACTACCACTTATACTACTACTATTACTACTATATATATACATATATATAGATAGATAGATTGATAGACAGACAGATAGATAGAGAGAGAAAAAGTAAGCTAAGAAATAAAAAGAGAATGAAAGAACAACTATCGGTAGCAAAAGAAGCCTCAATCCTTACGTGCATTCATCAACTTGATGTCAAAGGAACACGACCAAACGATAGCATAGCTGGTGTAGTCGGTGTCCAGGACCCAGTAGTTGCCGTCGCCGCCTGAGGGAGCTCCACCGACTGTACCCGATGAAAGAGGTCGATTAGGGTTGTGTCATGAAATCTCTTTTAAAATTAAATTAAAATTAAAATGCGTTTTAAGCAGGGGAACGCTTGGTTGGAATTCTTGCCAAGCGCTGTGCCGTTCCCTGCTTAAAACGCTTTCCAAGGCAGGCAGGACCTCTTCAGTGATGCCAGACATGTGGAAATGTCTTTTTATAAAGTACAAATCATAACAGTCCTTGATGAGCATAGAAATATCAAAATAACACACGAAATATACATACTTGGGTTTTAAAAGCAATGTTCCCACCAACAATCTCGGAAAGAGATAACTTATGCACAAGTCGAGGGTGGAGTTTATTTCACCTGCGGTTGGTAACAGTTTGAGCGCGCAATTCAAAACAACTGACAAGCTAGCGCCGCATCAAGATGGCAGAGAAGTAAATAAATCTGCCCAAACATCCTAACAAAGCGCTATATTTTCTCCTATATTCATATAAAGTGCCTCTAAGACAATGATACACACTTCCGATTGACAGCCCTTTCATTCTGACGCGTTATCAAAACAAATTAATATCCCTGAATTAAAATATAGGCCTACCCATTCCCATATATCCGATTTTATGAGGTTGAATATAACAAATCATCGAATATAATATCAACAGAAGAATGTTGCTAGAATTTCTCAGACTGTTTCACTTGAAATATTCTTCATTTCATAAAATAGCAGATATATTCTCGATTTAGAAAGACGAGAAGTTTAACAATAAGAGGAGAATTGTTCGTCTTATAATAATTTATTATTCATAAGTAAAACTTTTTATTCCCATAATCTCCATTATCTCCTTTCGTTTTCAGTTAATTTCAATTTCTTTGAATATGATTTTAAGAAAATTATAGAATCAGATACCGTGAAAAAAAAATATTTATCTGATAAGATATTAAGCGGAGTTCCTGGCCAACGCCCGCATTCGAAGGATCGTGACCAGTACGGTACGCGACCGACGCCGTTGCCATGGTGACGGTACACCGCTTGACTTAGCAAGCGCAAGTCAAGCCATCTACGGAGGTCGCTTGAGAAAGCAAGCGAAATGCTTGAGTTAGCAAGAAAAACGCTTGAGATTTCAGGCAAGAACTTTCCCTGCTTAAAACGCTTTTAGTTTTGGATTATAAATGCCTGTGAGATATAGAGTGATAATTCTGGTGCTATTTTCTATATCACCACAATCGTTGTGATTAGTATTAATCGTACTGTTATTTCTATTGTCATTGCTAGTACTAATTTCATTTTATCGTTGTCATTGTCCTAATAATGGACATCATTACCATCTCTAAAATGAAATCCAATAAACATCTCCATTACAACCAATAAAACCCGTAAAGGAAATAAATCAATAAACAATAAAAAAGAAAAATACAAACATGGCGAGAAGGAGACAACCAGCTTGGCTTCACCGCTTGCAGGATCCGCCAAAACGGCTTGACCTTCGATCGAAGTTGCTTTCCCTGTTACCCTGTGATAGATAAATAGATAGAGAATTAAACGAAGAAATGTATGAATAAAATATTAGATGGATATGTAATTGAATAGATAACTGAATTGGATGAATAAATATAATGAACAAAATTAGAGATAAAGTAGAGTGAATAAATGGATTACAGACAGACAAATGTAATCGATACATAACCAGTAGAATTAATCAATTTATCAACCAGTGAATTAAAAAGAACATTAATAAGTGGGTAGATGAATGAAGAAATGCGAGGACAATTTACGAAATCATATTTATAATGATAAATAAATAGATATTTAATATATCGAAATAAAAACAAATAATTTGTGTAATAATCTTTTTAGCGAATACTTTAAAATGTGTGTATGTGTGTGTGTGTATGTGTGTGTATGTGTGTGTGTGTGTGTGTGTGTGTGTGTGTGTGTGTGTGTGTGTGTGTGTGTGTGTGTGTGTGTGTGTGTGTGTGTGTGTGTGTGTGTGTGTGTGTGTGTGTGTGTGTGTGTGTGTGTGTGTGTGTGTGTGTGCACGCGTGCGCGCGTGTATGCATGTGTATGCTC